TCTGACTATTGAGCATCGCACTATTTGATCAACAGTGAGCATTACACATGTACATGAGTAACTCAAATTTACTAACTCAAATTTACAGTCTGCCCTTATACTGTGTATTTCTACAGCACTGGACAGAGTTCACAGAAAAAAAATAAGACAATGTTTGACTTTTCTTGTATTTTATAGAGTTCACAGAAAAAAGAAGACAAGGTTTGACTTGTATTTTACCAGAAGTAGTCAAATTTATAAGATTTCCAAGGTTTTCGTCTCACTATTGAACATTGCACATATTGATCAACATGGAGCAATACCTGGCCCCAAAAGCTTGAATTTGGTTGCTTCAATGGCAGATCAGGACAATCTTAATCAAGAAGAGCTCTACCGGTGCTTCTCTATAGGCCAGTGGGTTGTGCAGGATCGCCCTGGCTGGTTCTGTGCTGTGGGAGGTGACATGAAGGTCGAGCAGACCATTCAGCGAGTATCAAAGGGTCCTGGAAGTCACTGTCGTAGGAGCCACACACAATACAAATGCTGTAGCGGAGTTTGAGCTCTTGTTCCATTAGATTGGGATGATCACTGATTTCCTCAACTTTCTCACCAACAACCACACTTTGAAACAGACAGAATGCCATCTCCAGCATGCACGGAGCACCACTCGCCGCCTTACATTCAACCAAAATGTTTCAAAGCTGCTGGACTTTGTGCTAGAGCAGCAAAATCCATACTCAGTGACAATCGTTGTGCCTGTTCCACTGCACAATCTGCTCACCAAGCAAGCTGTTGATGAGGTGTCGCTCCTCGCTTGCTCAACTGTCTCCGAAATGGGAAGCATGTCTACTGCTCGTACAGGCAGGAGAGGTTAGTTGAGAAGACCAAGAAAATTAGCACAACTGTATCAAAGAGAAAACTACCTCAGTTCAATGAACAACCACAGAAGACACCGACAATCAGTATGAAGGAGCAGAAGTTAGTCTCATCCAAAGACATGGCCGAGGCACATAGGAGTATGGACATTGCTAAGAAGCGGGGCATGAGTATCCGGCAGATACTTTCTTATGATGTGCTTTCAGCATCTCCCCTGTTTGATGGTGACCTTCCAGCTCATGTCAACAAGTCAAAACTTGTCAGTGAGATTGAGCCTCGACTTGATCTCAACCAATGGAGTCCTGAGTCTACTTATGCCACTCATGTTGTGGTAGACTTCATGTCGAAGATGCGACAGATGCCTCTAGCACAATTCCCTACTTTAGGTGCGGTCATCAATGCCATCATCAGCTCAACATCATCCCTCTGCCAAGACCCGGAGTTCATCCATCTTGTACTAGATTCCTACATCGAGATGTCCCTGAAAGAAGGGGAGCGTATGCGGCGTACAGACTCAACAACAGGCAACGACATCATTGGCATGAACAGACACACACCCATCCCTCAGCAACTTGACAAGTTCTGGGCATCTGAGGAGAACAAGCGGAATCTCCAACTGTTAGCTCGGGATATGGTATGCAATCGAGCCAGTGCCAATGCAACTGTCATTGTCAGCTCTATTGTCATTGATGATGAGGTGCTACCAGCAAAGGCAGCTGGTGGCGAAGAGATCCCAGACCTCTTGAACTGGATTGAGGAGGCTGATGCCAGGTTGCTGGTGCATGTTGAGTGGGCTGTTCGTGTGAAGCAGTGCAAGAGAGTTGTCATAGTCTCCAATGACAGACACCTTTGCATTGCTTCTCCACTACAGCCCATACTTCCAAGAACTCGGGATGAAAGAGATCTGGCAGCAGTATGGCACTGGTCAGAGGCGGCGAATGCTTCCACTCCATCAAGCAGTTTCTCGTCTTGAAACGTCACTGACAAAGACAGTGATTAAAGCACATATCCTGACTGGAGATGACTGTATGAGCAAGGTGGGGACTAAACCTGCTGCTATGGTTTCTGACCCAGTCCAATACTTAGCCAACTTTGGAGAGGCAGACACCTTGACAGAGCAAGATGCAGCATTGGCTGTGAAGTACTTGGTGTGTGTCTGGGCTGGGGCCAGGTCAACTACAACAGCTAAGATATTTGAAGACTTAAGGGTAGAAATCTACACCACCTCCCACAAGTAGTGGGATCAGAGGCCACATCCAACGAGGGGCTTTTCTGGTTCATACGGCATGCCACTTGCTTGCAACAGCCAAGGACGCCAAAGCAAGACTAGAGCCAACGGAACATGGATGGAAGGAGCACTTTGGCACACTCCTGCCATCAAAATGTCTGAAGCCCTTACCACCAAGTCTGCTCACAGTATGTAAGTGTGCAGGCAAGTGTGACAATCGCCGATGTGGCTGTCGTGCTGCTGGAGTTTCATGCACCATATTCTGCCATGGGAAAATGGAAAAATTATCCTGTAAAAACCCATCCCACTAACATGCATGCACACATACAGTACACTTTGAGAGAAATCAGACTATATGGTGCACTTTTAGTTAATTTGGTATGATGTAATTTTATCACTTATTGATACATTTTTATTTGCACCCAATTGTTTTATTTTATATCATTGTACTAACACCCAATTAAAATAAAAGTTCAAACGAATGTTTATAATTGTTACATTTCTTCTCTTCATGTCTTGTTATAATAATAAAAAATCATCGTGGAAAAAAATACAATAAAAAGTGACTATTAAAAAAATAAATCTTAATCAAGTTATTGAAAAATGATGTTGACATTGACATTTCAATGACAAGATGATCCTTAATGTTAAAAACAATATTAGCAATGAATGTTAAAGGGTCACTCCACCCATTTGCATTAAGAGGTCCATTGTTAGACAACCAGTCATACTATTGAATGGTCGTGCAACATTCTTTCATTTTCCCCTGAGACGAGAGAAATCTACTATTTACCTTTTTCACTTCCTCCTACAATGACGCAAAAATCGTCATTTGACGTCATTGTAGGAGGAAGTGTAAAAAGGGGAAATTTCTGTATAGACTACAAGCACAAATTCCCACCCTTTCAAACCCGCCCATAGGGGGTTGTGCCTAATGCGCTAACAGAGCTATCACAGATCAGTGGGTGGGACTTCACTTGCAGATACTGAAAGCAATATCAGCCATCTTGTTTATAAGCTAAGCTAACAAGCGCTGTGGATATAGGAAGTTACGACAATGACGGAAGAAACTAAACATGATATGGAAGTAGAGGATTTTGAAATTCTGCTGCTCGAATCCGCTCTTCGTGGCTATCTTTACGAGCCGCAATATAGTGAAGAGCAGCTGAGGCTGATGGAGGATCAGGAGGCGGCTGCCTGTCGCGAACGAGGAGCCCGGACTGGGTCGAGCTGAGGCGGGCTGCTGGTGCGTGTGCTCTCGCTGTGCGCTACGGACACAGATAGAGTCCGTCTGCTGCAGAGAATTTCAACGATCGCAATTTCTCCTAGACGAAATCTCTGAATCAGACGACCACACGGACGTTTGTGTTGTGATGTGAACCATCCTAGTTTCGCCTGACTGAAAATCCAGGTCTCATGCAATAATTCACCATATAGAAAGAAATACAAACGAGTAATTCACTAATGAGTTTGCCAATGTAACGGGGTTCGTTGTTGTGGGAAGAAGGAGGCTGGAACCGGCGAACATTTAAACATTTTAATAGTAAAATAAACAAATACAAAACAAAAGTATAAGCCAGCTGGCCACACACAACAGAAAGAAAACATAAAATCAGGCCTGTTCCTTTTGTGCTTCCGCTCCTCCGTGAGAGATATGAGACCGCTGCACAGGTGCCATTCATTATCACTCGCGTCGTCCTCTCACGTCCCTCGCCCTCGTCCTGCTCGCCACAGCCAACTAACTAGACATTTTTTGTGAAATGAATTTCAAACTCATTTAGCAGCTAGCCTTCTTGTAGACGGAAGAGTGATTTCTCTCTGATGTTTGCGCTGTTCTGGATTAGTGGGAGTGGCTTGCGGAGCTGTGCAACGTGGTGCATTGTGGGAGTTGTTGTCTTACATACAAATGCGCCCTAAAGTTATTTTCTGTCTTTTCTCGGTCAAGAGGGCACCAAATTCAAAATTTCTTTTACATTTCGACTACATATATAACCCACTTTCAATAAAGATTAATGTTGAAATGGGTGGAGTGACCCTTTAAATGTCACATTTAGTAGAATTAGACTTATTGCATCTGTTTTTTATTTCTAATAATGGCCAAGTTATGGATAAGAAGTAGGAAGATGACCTTAACCATGACCTTTTAAGGTAAAAAGTCAGCCAATATGGCCATAACAATATCAGAAATTAATTCCACATACCATAATAAGTCTAAATAGAGGCATTACATGTGTATATACATTCAGAAACAAAGTTGGATTTTCATCATCATCCGATGGCGGCCATATTTGATTTGACCATTACGTAATTCGTGGCACTATAGCGGACGAGCACCTCTGTGATTTTTTATGTCTAGGGACCCACTTACTCAGTTCAAGTGAGAAATTCCCCCAACACCAAATTGCGAACGGGTCTACAGGCCAGGTACTGGATTAATGTTTTGTGTGCTCACAACACATTCACATATTTTTTTGTCTGTGATTTAATGCACACATACATACCAAATTACTTTCATTTCTGCACCAAAATATGATCTAGAATATATTGATATGGTTTGCGTTGACCATTTTGCATGTTTGTGAATTACTGGCTTAATGAATAATAACGATGATATTTTTGTTTACTTGTTTACTTCTGACTAATGCAAATCTGGATCCTGAGCCAAACATATCCCCCAGTTTCACAGACCAGGCTTAAGCTAGTCCCAGACTATAATGCATTATTGAGCTGTTTTCACTGAAAGCTACTTGCACGAAGATATCTTAAAATATGTCAGTGCAATTGTTTTGTCTCAAGATGAACCTAATGGCCTAATCCAGGCTTAATCTAAACCCTATCTGTGAAACCGGGCCTTTGAGTGTTTTTGTGATGCTTATATTGTCATCTGATCCTGTTAGTGATGAGATTGCACACTCACCTCCATAGTTGTCAAGTTACAGCGGTGAGTTCCTGCAAACCAGCCACTGCTGGAGCACTGGTCAATGTCCACATCCTGTAGATTAACATCTACACGTACAACTCCTCTGCAGACGGACAGAGAGAGAGAGAGAGAGAGAGAGAGAGAGAGAGAGAGAGAGAGAGAGAGAGAGAGAGAGAGAGAGAGAGAGAGAGAGAGAGAGAGAGAGAGAGAGAGAGAGAGAGAGAGAGAGAGAGAGAGAGAGAGAGAGAGAGAGAGAGAGAGAGAGAGAGACAGAAAGGTGAGAGTTAGCAGTCAGGCCCGACGGCACAAGGGTGTTTTCAGCCACATAATGTTTATTTTAGGTTTCAGACATTTTAACAGACATTTAAATAAGTATATAAAAAAAACACTTTTATAGTTTGTTAAATACAAATTCCATACACTGATGTCTATGGAAGCTGCAATAATAATCTTTTCAATTAGGCTATAATTTGTCAAGTGTTTTATTCATGTCAGAGACACCCCCATGGATGCACCTCTAGTTCCTGTGTCCTGGCGCCGGCTCTCTGAGCGGTTGAAAAGATGCCGATTGCATTGTTGTAGTATATGTCAAAGTAAGTTGAAGGCTTTTAGGCTTTCGTTAAATTACTCACATGAAGTTGGGGCTAAAGGCTGACTTTCCATTTGTTGACATTAGATTCAGATGGTAAATATATAAGTTGGGTGTCCACCTTAGATATAATCATGATATTTATAATGAAACATTTAAAAAAATATGATATTTATCATGTTATACAATAAAATATAATTTGTTAAATCTATATACAATTATGGGAACTACTTCAATGTTTTCAATAATTTTGAAATATATATTTTTTTATATTAACATATTTTAATAACAGTATATTTATTGAATTTTTTTTATTTATTTATCAAAATAAACAGAAAATAGTACAAAACTTTGATAAAGTGATTGTTTTGAACAAGTACTAAGGGATTATTTAAACATATTATTTTAGCTAAAGTATTTGTTTCAATAATGTGTGCTTTTTGCCTAATGCTGGTGAGCCTTTTACCCCGTGCATGAGGTAAAAGGCCCACCTTCCCACTTCATACATTTATACGATTTTTAAACAAACCACTTTTGATTTATTTTCACACAAAATGTGTTGCTCCATAAATCTTCAATACAAACATATATTTTCTTTCTGCAATCATACATTATGGAAGTAGTGAAAAAAAGCAATTTTTTTCTTAAGGTGTGCCTTTAGCCCCATTGTACAATATATATTATTTATTAATAATTAACTGTAAAAACTGCTGTGTGGGGACATTTCAATTTTACCCATAAAATAAATAAAAATCTTGTAATATGTCATGTCACTCATTATTCAACTACTTAATAAATCAAAGAAAAACAATCTAAAATTGTTCTCCCTTTTCTTTCTTTCTGGGATTGCAAAGTATTGTAATGACCCACACGTGAAGCATGTGCTCTAGAACAGACTGTATGAAATCATTCCTTAAAGTAAAACGAATGCAATTCCTTTAAAAGAATGCAGAATGGACAGCTTAGATACAAAAGGAACCTTGGCTTGATGCATCCAATAGTTTCAGCAGTTTTACTTTTCATTAGTGAAAAATACTTGTCTCATTATGAGTTGGATGCTACTTTTGCAAGGGCATTTCAATTGTTCTTCCCCGGGGAATGAGATGAGATCTCATTAGACAGAACACAGAATCCGACACTCGGACTGGAAAAAGAAAAATGTTTTTTTCACCACTGCATGGGAACATTCAATCTGATTTGCAAATGCTGCTGGTTGTATGATGTAAGTCTCTTTCTATAACTAGAAGGGGGAAGGCAGCTCTCCGGTCAATTATGTGAAAATAAGAGTTGTTGCCTTTTACTCCAGATAGAAGTCCATTAGAGGGGCTTCTCTTTCCCTGTTCCATAAGGCATGCTATATGAGACATGTGGACCATGCTGCTTCAATGATGTGCTCTCACAATCTTTACTACTTTTTCAGTATCACAAAGATTATGGTGTCTGTTATTAAGGCACACTGTAACATAAAACTAACATACTTATGTCCCTGTTGATGCTAATGAAGAACCACATCAGTCTCCATCATCTAATTCAACTAACTCTGAAATCAATGCATTGCTAAAAATGAACCTCTCCTTTCCATTCCCTGCCTGACAACAGCATGAGGGATTAGACCTTAAGAGACATTAGGAAACACTTCTGTTGCCTGAACAGTATCGTGTGGTGCTAGCAACGCAAAAGTGGATTTGACTCCTAGGGAACGGATGAACTGGTAAAACCTATGCTTTCTGGATAAAAGAATCCACCAAACGCACGGATTTCATACACTGAAAAAAAAAAATTGTACCCGTCTTCTGTAACACATTTAAAAAGGGAACAAATGTATTGACTGGAAAGGTTTAGTAAAGACTCCATTGTACTTTTGCGTTACCCTTGACTTGATTAAAATGTTACATTATATACATTACATTATAATGTACAAGGTTGTGTCCAATATTACAATTGTTCACAATATTACTTATTTTACTGTATTTTTGATCAAATAAATGCAGCCCTGGTGAGCATAAGAGACTTCATATTTATTTATAAAGAAACCTATATCTATAGATCTATATATATATAGGGCTGCATGATATTGAAGAAAAATGCTATAACTCGTTAAATAATGCGATATTCAATATCCGATACCGTCATGCTTTAAGTGTGTAAAATACACTTAAATAATATTTAAATATATAAAAAAAATTAAACTGAAAAAGATATAATCAATTTACATGTTTCACATTCTAGAAGCATCCCTGCAACTTGTTTTACTGTAGCAAGTGTCATTTTAGTGTAAGTATAACCAGTGGTTTATTTAACAACAGAAATTGAATAATCACTTTTTTTTTTAAATAAAACACAGCTTAGTCTTTACTGTATTAATTAAATATACACTGATTCTTATTAAAGCTACAAAAGTTATTCAGTCAAGAGCAGCGAGTGATTTTCTCTTTGTCTTTTGTTGTTTGATTGACATCAATCACACAGACGGAAGCAGGTTTATTAGAGCTGCATGGATACAATATATTGTTACACGTGCACTTTCTTTCTCAACTGTTTACTCCATTTAAAGCCAGGTGCACACTGTACGATTTATAGTTGTAATGATTGTCCACTGAAGGCAAGCTTGTTGAGAACCCAAGTGCAGTTTCTTTACAAAAACATGATCAAACAGAAAACAAAAGCATTGCGTGGCATGAAACACAAAACAAGAACATAGGCATGCCATGGAGCTTACCAACAGCAGTTACAGGAAACAAGACTTGACAAGGACACATGAGGGCTTAAATACACAAGGACTAATGACTAGTCAAGGGACACCTGCGAACAATGAACCAATGACAACATGACACATCAGACAAGGGAACACATGGCAGGATCACATGACTATAACAAAGAATCACATGACAACAGGAAACATGACAAAGACATGAGACATGACCAAAACAAGACGTGACAATAATAATCCTTTACGACTGTTGCTTGTCAGACTGTACGAACATGATCCCTGCTGTAAGCCATGTAGGGCTGGGCGATATGGCCAAAAAAAAATTCACGATACAACTTTTCATATCAGTCGATATGGTGAAAGTTGTATAAACCAGACCCTTAATTGTGGTTATAAACAACTCTTTATTGTCAGAACATGACAAACACTTCACGTTTTTTTAATTCTTTACACTTTTCTAGTTATTTTCCCTTAAAATTAAAATTAATTTCTTAGTTTGTGCATGGTAACGGGTAAAATTGTTTCAAGTCATGAAACAGGTTTGTGTTGTCTGACTTTGATGACATGTATCTTCAGCACAGTTAGCAGCTCAGGCAGCAATATTAATAATATTACACGTTTTGTCTCTTAGAAATGCACATTTGCCAGTAGCTTGAGTTGACAGTAGTTGCAGCTTGGATGAGTTAGGATGCAGATGTAAATTTATGTTCATTAAAGGTGCAATATGTAAGATTTTTGTATTAAAGGGGTCTGTGACGAGGGGCGTGGTTTTCGCGAAGTCTGTGGTGAGAGAGGAGTCAATAAGCTGTGCGGTGAGTAAGTGGGTCAAGTGCAGATGATGAACACCTGTGTCTGATTGCAGTGATTGGCATGGAGAGACGGATATAAGCCCTGCAGTTTGAGAGTGTGGGGGAGAGAGAAAGGACTGGGACTTGTGCAGCGATCGAGAGGAAAGAGTGCTGTAAAAAACAGCGAGAGCTGAACCAAGCGTGGAAAGAGTTTTGATTGAAATTTTGCTGTGCTGTAGAGAAACTACGGTGAATGCGATGTGTGCGCGCCTTTTGTTTTGTTTTGATTCTGAGTTAATAAAGTCTGTACGAGTCCCAGTATCGCCGACCCTGTGTTCTTCTTCCTCACCCACAGACGAACTTTGCTACAGGGTCATATAATGGTACATGCACTTTTACAAGTTGATTGTGCTGAAATGTGTGTTGGCAGTGCCTGTACACAACCATCATAAAATGATAAAAATCCATCCAGTGTTTTTGTTTTAATCTCCTTATATGTTTTCCCCTGCCTCAAATTGAGCCGTTCGATTTTGTGACGTCACACGCTCGGAAGCCCCTCCCACGATTGTTGATTGACAGCTGCGTTTCAACACAGACCCGCCCTCGCTCGTGAGCGAGCATCATAGTCTGCGCGGACCGGCGCGGTCATTGTTGATATGCTGGAGCACTGTCTATGAGCAGAATGGCGTCTAAGCGATTGTGGTGTTCTGTTCTTGGGTGTAATAACGAACACAGCAGTCATTTTAATGTTCCTAAATCCGAACCGCTGAAGACGCAGTGGCTGAGTTTGTTTTCGAAGGGAATATTCCCCACGAGCAACGTCAATGCTTTCATATTTGCGCGAATCATTTCTCACTAGACTGCTTTATAAACGAGGGTCAGTATGAGCTGGTTTTCTTACAATACTAATGAGAATTTTTAATTAAAGTATATTACAAACTTTTAATTTAGACCCTAAAGAATCATACTAGCTTGTACAAAAATGGCAATATATGACCCCTTTAAAATATCCAAAA